TCGGGCGCCCCCGGGAGCATCCTGCGCCGCCGGCAGGGGGAGCGCGTCGGTCTCCGCGCGGGCCGGCGCTGCATGGATAGTAGGCTTGCTTTTTTTTTTTTTAACTTTTGGCAAATATCCTTTAAGATCCTAGCCCGCCCCAGTCCACCTGAATTCTGACGTGGTCCGTTCTCACTCACTTTTATTCTCCTCTGTAGGGGAGATGCTCCTTCGGGGTAGGGACCAAAGGAGCACCTCGCCGAAGGGACTTCATTGTTTCAGCATCTACTGAGCTGCTTCTCCTTGGGGGCAGATCTGGGCCAGCTGCAGGGATACACAGAGTAGGAAAACTAGATGCTGCCCCTCAAGGCAGGGAGAGCAGGTAAGTGCTCAAGTATTTATAGCACAAGATCTTAGCACGTCCCCTGACACTTGGCTCATTAGTAGGTTATTGCACTTCTCAAGTTCCTATGTATTTTTTTTTAATGAAATGAGATCAGAACATATATACAATTTTGCTTCCTGTGTTTTCACTTAGCATTTTCATTTATGCATTTACCATATAATTTAAATCTATTAATAATTTTTATCGGGTAGAATATAATTCCTTCTGAAGAGCTCTGTCTGCCCAATCAGATCATAAGCTTTTACACACCTTTGAATTGCCACCCTCTGCCGCAGGGCCTGGAATGTAATGGGGGCTGATTATGTGTTGAACTGAAAAAGTTTTCCAGTGAAATGAAGTGTGGGAAGTCATAGAGAAAACCGAGAACCCAGAACAAGAAGTTACATCTGACACTAAATAGCTGTGCCCCGGGCCTCAACTTCTTCACCTGTAAATTAAGAAAGTTGAGCTGGAGGAGTTCTACAGTCTGTACTTCCCAAGCATTTCTGGGATTCTCACACTGCATAAATCTGGAAGGATTTAATATGGACCCTTCATGGACATCACATAAAGCTGACTTCAAGTGCTCTCACATTTCCAGGCCCCCTTCCTGAGTGGGCCTTTTACCCCAAGTCCTCTTTCCCCCCAGCAGTATTAACGTAGAACACTGTGTAAGCTTATGATGTACAGGATGATGATTTCATACATGGATCTATTGCAAAATGTTTGCCATAATAAGGCTAGTTAACACATCGTTTACCTCGCGCAATAACCATTTTGTTATTGTTGTTATGGTGAGAACATTAAAGCTCTACTCTCACAGCAACGTTCAACTATACAATCAAGTATTGGTAACTGGAGTCACCATGCCGTGCATTAGGTTCACCTTATAATTGAACGTTTGTACCTTTTGACTATTTCCATACTTCCCCCACTCCTCAGCCTCCAGTAACCACCATTCTAGTCTCTCTTTTTATGACTCTGATGTTTTTAGATTCCACATATGAGATCATACAGTATTGATCTTTCTCTGTCTGATTTCTTTCACTTAACATAAAGCCCTCAAGATCCATCCATGTTGTCACAAATGGCAGGATTTCCTTCTTTTTCTTTGCTGAAATAATAATTATATATATAACATACATACATATTACATTTTCTTTATCCATTTACCTGTTAATGAACATGGGTGTGCAGATATCTCTTCAAAATTGTGATTTTATCTTCTGTAGATATATACCCAGAAGTAGAATTGCTGGGTTATATAGTAGTTCTGTTTTTAAATTTTTGAAGGATTCCTTACTGTTTTCCACAGCAGCTGCACCAATTTACATTTACCCCAACAGTGCACCAGGGTTTCCCTTTCTCCACATCCTCACTGGCATTTGATATCTCTGGGCCTTGAATTTTCTGTGGGTTTACCCTTCATGTTTTCCCTGGCAGATGTTCCAGCAAAGCCTGTAGGATGTCCTGCAGCAGAGGCAGGTATTCACATGTGAACATTATACCATCAAAATGTAATGGGCCCGTTTTACCGATGTGGGGAAGAGCCTGGCATATTGTGGGGCTGTGAAGGTAGCCTTGGGGAAGCACCTGAAAGGTTTATTATTGTCCCTTGCACATGAAGGGAAATTGATCTCAGTTATCAGAAACCTGTACTTATTACTCTTTCCATGAATCTTCTTGAAGATGAAGCACCGTGGCAGAAACACTTTTGCAAAAGCATCCAAAATAAGATAATAACTGTCTGCAAATGACGAAAGACTTAAAAACGGCCATGGTTAAGGAGCTGGTGAGAGTTCACAAATGTATACAAAATGAGGCAATTGACTTGGCTATCCATTCCACTCTTGCTCAGCTTGACCACACATAAAATTCTTTTTTTTTAAAATATATCTTTATTGATTTCAGAGAGAGGAAGGGAGAGGGAGAGAGAGATAGAAACATCGATGATGGAAGAGTGATCATTGATCGGCTGCCTCCTGCACACCCCCGGCTGAGGATGGATCCTGCAGCCCCTGCATGTGCCCTGACCAGACTCGAACCTCTATCTCCTGGATCCTAGGTCGATGCTCAGCCGCTGAGCCATGCCCAACCGGGCCACACATAAAATTCTCCACTCAAGATTCCTTTCCCACAAACCTTTTGCAACTTTTATATGCCTTTCAGCTTTTGCCCTGTTTTTCCTTTTGTATTTTGAAATACTCATTTTAATTTAAGACAAATTACTTTTTTACCCTTTACCAAAAAAATCCAAAAAACAAACAAAAAATGATGTTCATTATATCGTTCTTTTATCCAGAAAACACATTCTATTTTCCTTTCCCTCAATAAAAATGCATCTCCTTTTTTTATACCTTCTTTTATAGAAAACATATATCCTACTTTCCACATACAGTCATTGTCTTTTATCTTTACTATTTTCCAGAAGTTTTGTAAAAAGCCTTAGTTCTCTTACAGATCAATTTTGGCTACCCCAGTCTGTATTTTTAAAAGGCCTCTTTTGTCCTTCGGTCTCTGTGGGCTATGTTTTGGTTAGCTCCTGGGGTGTTTACATTTCAAAGGCA